CGGCGCTGCCCGCCCTCCGCTGCGCTGCTCCCCCGCACCCGCCGCGGCGCCGCCGCCTCCTCCTCCCGCCGCCACCGCCGCACCCCCCCCTCGGCCCCGCCGCACCGCGGGCACCGGGGGCGCCGCCCCGCACAGGTGGGTACCGGGAAAGGAGAGGGAAAAGGGAAAACGGGGAGGGAGGAGGAGGGTTAACCCGCGCCGTTTCTTGCGGGGAACCGGGCGGGCTTGGAGCGGGAGGGAGGGAGGGAGGAAGTGGGGGGGCGCTCTGGTTGAGCGGAGCGGGATCGTGATCGTGGGATGGTTTGGGGTGGGAAGGGACCCTAAGGATCATCTCCTCCTCCCGCCGTCCCCGCATCGCAGCTCTCGTCCCCGCATCCCCCCCCAAAACGCACCGCAACCCTTCATTTTACACCTAAAAAGCGTGAGCAGGTGACATCCGGCGACAAAGCGCCGCCCGCAGACGGGACCGGGTGACAGGAGCCGGGTGACAGGGGCTCCCTCGGTCCCCAAAAGCAGGCTGGCTGCTCAGAACCGACCCCAATCCTCCTGGGGAAAGCTCTCCCTGCACCCCCGGTGGGTCAGCATCTTCACCCCGCTGTGGGTGAGCGGGACCCGTCCCTTCTCCCCTTCTCTGTGTGGGGTGTGTTTGACCCACGGTGGTGGGTTGGGGATTTTTTCCCCCCCCCAGTACAGGCAGCGTGTGGGGAAAAGCCCAGCTCGCCCTCGGGCGGGTGATGCTGAGGCATCAGGTCCCTGCTTGCCTCAGTACCATTAGGTAGCAGCGGTTCCTCCCCTGTTCTTCGTTCCCAAAATATGAGGCTTGGAAAGCGCCCAGGGTCCTGCATGTCCTTGGATGCACACTCTGCCCGGGGTCGGTGTGAGGACAGCACCTTGGCACGCACCACGCTCCCTCCCTGCTGCCCTCTGACGCACCCTCCACAGCTCAGGTTCAGCCCCAAGCCCCGGCGAGAAGCTTGCCTCCTAAAAGTGCTCACCAAGAGGAGAAGTTCCTGGTGAAAGCTGGGGGCGGCAGCCCCAGAATCACAGAACAATACAGGGTTGGAGGGGACCTCTGGAGATCGTCTCGTCCAACCCCCCCCAAGCCAAAGCAGGTCCACTCAGAGCAGGTTTGCAGGTTTCCACCTTTGCTCCAGGCTGCTGCTGGTGGGAGAGGTGGTGTGTCCAGCACCCTCCATGCCAGTACCTGAGGCTGTGTTACTCACCTGGCGTGCAGGAGATCCACCTTTCCCTACTGCCCTCAGCTGGGGTTGGGGTGAAGTGTTGTTTATTATTATTATTTATGGCTTCAAGTTGCGCCAGGGGAGGTTCAGGTTGGATATTAGGAAAAGTTTTTACACTGAAAGCATTGGAATGGGCTGCCCAGGGAGGTGGTCAAGGCACCATCCCTGGAGGTGTTCAAAAGATGGGTTGACATAGAGCTTAGTGACGTGGTTTAGTGATGATTTTTTATCAGAGTTAGGTTGATGGTTGGACTAGATGATTTTAAAGGTCCTTTCCAACCTAGACAATTCTATGATTCCTTGCTGGTGGTGCTGTTACAGGAGGGGTCTACAAGACAGGTTGTGGCATGGTGCTTCCACTTCTGCTGTTGAAGCCAGGCCGGGATGAACAGCAGGGTTGGAGCTAGAGGGAAGGGCAGCATGCGTGCCTGGGGGCTGGCAGAGCCCAGCCCAGGATTAGAGCAATCATGAGGAAAAGGGATTCCAGAGCTTGTGCCAAGTACTGATTCTGTGCGTTGCTCAGGGCAGAATTTGAGGCTCCCTCCTCTTTCTGGTCTTGCCTGTTGACCGAGGCAGCGTCCCCCTCGCTGTGATGAGCTCTCCAAATCCCCCCTAAGAGGGTCCTGGCTGGCCTAGGTCTTAAATCTGGCCAAAATCAGGAGTCTTTAACTCCAAGCAGCAGCAACTGCCGCTTTGAATGTGGGTGGCCCGAGGCTGCCATCCCACCTCTGGCCCAAACAAGGCTAGACATGTAGTACGATACCCTGTAGCATAGGATTTGTCACATGGGGATGGCGTCTGCCAAGTTTCTCCTAGAACTGGGGTTGCAGGGAGGGCACCTCCAGCTGCTGCCGGCCTCCTGGGCCATCGGAGGCTGATGCAACTCCTGCTGCAGGTGTGGTGGAGCCAAAACCCTGGGGTGAACAAGGTAAGGGCTCCCAGCCAAAAGGCAGCACCGAGAAGTAGGAGAAGAAAGGAAGGGAAACCAGAATGCTGCTCACCTTACCCCAAAAGGTAAGGGCCCTGGTTCTAGCCCCTCTGCACATTCCAACCCTCATCTTTGAAACAAAGTCCTGAAAATAAAGTCTGTGACTGCTTGTCAGCGGAGATCCTAGAAGTTCATCTCTTCTGCTGTTGCTGGATGACACAAGGAATCTTGAACTGTTCATTAACCTTCAGAAGAAGAGGGTGCACAGTTTGAATCCTCACCCTGCCCTTACAGTGCTGAGGCACCACCCTTGCTGAGAGAAAGGCTTTCTTTTTTATGTTTATGATGATCTGAAGCGCCTTGAATAGTAATTGCTGAGCTGGTGTCTCCTGTTGCAACATCGCCCCAAGAGAACTGGGTCCATGTTCACCACCCACTGCTAAAGTGCAAGCTCAGGAGGCCACTTGTTCCTCTGCTTACGCCAGCATCACGGTGTCACAGCAAGTTACAGGTCATTTAACTTGGACCATAAGGGTCTTGGATCAGTGACCTCGTACGTGCCTCGCTGCCACGGACACCTTAAGCATTGCAAAAATAACAAATGGGGTTTGTGCTTGCAGTTGGAGTGTTCAGGTTGCTGGTCTGGCCCCAGTTCTGCAGAATGGCTCAGTCTCTGCTGTGATGGTTTCAGCACTTTGGGGACAAAGAACTCCTGCAGTTCATCAGCCACCTGAAGCTGGAGTCTTCCCACAAGAGTCCACCTTCATAAAGCCGAGGGCTCCCAAGTTGCCTACAAGGGGCCTGGAAGTGTGTGATTTACAGCCCAGCCCCTCCTTCACCCAACCTTCCCTGGGCTCTCCAAAGAAGCCAGAAGCTCTTTTTACCTTCCTGAGACCTCTCTGGCTTTGAAAGCTGTCAGAACTGTGCTGTGGCACATCCCGTGACCACAGGGATGGGGAGATTGAGAGGATGCTCTGGCTTTGTTTGCAGCTTGGCAGGTGCCTGGCCAAACTTAGACTTTGTCCTGCAGTAGCAGACATAAGCTGCCCAGAGCTCTAGGGCAGACTTTTGGCTCCAGGTGCATTGCACCTAGCTCGGCCCTGCTGCTACCACCTCCCTTCCAACATCTGATTGGGGTCAAGCCACGAGCAGCCTGGACTCTTGCTAAAGCCTTCTTGGAGCAGAAGAGCTCCCCGCTATTCCTTTGGAGGGCCCTGCCTGAGCCACGTTCATCCATGGGGTGGCAGGGGCTGTGCAGAAGGCACTGCCTCCCCGAGGGCTTCCCTGTGCCCGGAGGGAAGGACAGGCAGATGGATTTAGGGCTCCTGGCTGCTCTCAGGTAGCAGAAAGCACCATGTACTTCTCTCCAGTTGCAGCACTTACCTACGGGTTGTACCTACCCCAAAAATAGCCTCCCCGTGGAGCTTTCATTAAAAGCTCTATTGATTTCTTTGGGTTTCTGCCCAGCAGCTCTGGTGGGCAGTGAGCTGTGACCAGTACAGAGCGTATTCTCCTTCCTGCTCCCCATCCCCGCGCAGCTGTCAGGGCCCTGCTTGGGGATTTCACGTTTCCCTCTCCATGAAATGGCATTTCTTGACAAGAATTGTAAACTACAAAACACTGCAGAAACTGGAATGTTTTAAACAAAGTTCCCATGGGAAGGGGTTCATGCTGGTGAGCCCAACCTCACATCTCAGTTTGAGGAACTCCTGGTACTTGAATTAGAAGGTGGAGATGGGGAGAGATGTCCTCCATCTCAACCTCACATCTCAGTTTGAGGAACTCCTGGTACTTGAATTAAAAGGTGGAGATGTCCTCCATCCGATTTAAATTCCCAATTTCCAACTTTCTTTGAACCGTTCAGACACACTATCCCGCTGGCTTACACAAACATATGTTAAGCATTTTTTAAGTGTCTTTAAAAGTACCCATTTTCTTAAAGATGAGGACATGAAGCTCCTGCTGCAGGGTCTTTCTTTTCTCTTTTACTCCTCCTAAGTATGTGCATTGAGCTGTTAGGGCTTCCATCTTCCTGCTGTCCCCTCTAGCTCAGGGCTGTCACCAGCTCTGACCATTGATAATGCTGTTGTTGAGGCTGGGAAAAGGCTGAACACACAAGTGTGTGGGGTAGTGCCCCGCATCTGCTGCAAGACGACAAGTCTCTTCCATTTTTAAGTAACTCCAAGGTACAAATATGCTTATTTAAAATCTGCCGGGGGCCAACAGTGATGCGAGACTGAAGTTCTTTTGCTCATAGATCCCCTTTGCAAAATACAGGCAAGGTAAATAAGCTGAGGCAACACGAGAGCTCCGTCAGCATTGCCTCTTGTGCAAGTTGCTGTGGTGCAAGCGTCCCTCATCCTATCTGTGGTCAGAGGGAAACCAAGTGTCTGGGCAGGGTGCCGAGCGTGGGACGGGGCACGGGTGGCCTCTCTGGCAAAGGTGCTGGAGCGGGTCCAGAGAAGGGCAACGGAGCTGGTGAGGGGTCTGGAGCACAAGTCTTATGAGGAGAGGCTGAGGGAGCTGGGGGTGTTCAGCCTGGAGAAAAGGAGGCTGAGGGGAGACCTTCTCGTGCTCTATAACTCCCTGAAGGGAGGGTGTAGAGAGGTGGGGGTTGGTCTCTTCTCCCAAGTTACAGGCTATAGGACAAGAGGAAACGGCCTCAAGTTGCACCAGGGGAGGTTTAGATTGGATATTAGGAAAAATTTCTTCATGGAAGGGGTTATCCAGCATTGGAATGGACTGCCCAGGGAAGGGGTTGAGGCACCATCCCTGGAGGTGTTCAAGAGACGGGTTGACATGGTCCTCAGGTATATGGTTTAGTGGTGTGTTTTGTTTTGGTTTTGTGGGGGTTTTTTTGGTCAGAGTTAGGTTGATGGTTGGACTAGATGATCTTTAAGGTCCCTTCCAACCTCGACCATTCTATGATTCTATGGCACTTCAGAGCAAAAGCCTTCCCCCGGGGAAGGGTTGGAAGAGCTCTAGGGGCTGTGCCAAGGGCTTGCTGCCGAGATGGGTGGGAATACGGTGCAAATTCCCCTGTGGCTACCATGAAAAGGAAAGCTGTCTCCCTTAGGGACAGGTGCTGCAGGTGAAATAAGGAGCTGGCAGAACTTGTCTGCCTGCTGGGCTCTCTCCTCTGTGAGGTGGGAAAAAGCATGCTCTATTCTAGAAGTTAATCTCAGCCCTGCCGTTCTGGATGAATGAGCCCTTTCTTCCCTTAGAAGGCACCTGTACCGTGCCTCAAAGCAGCCCCTGAGAACGAGCCAAACACCACAACACAGAACTGACCCTCCCTCTGCATCCTTCTTGCTTCATCTCAGGTTGAGGAGCAGGCTCCTGCACAAAACCACAAGTCACTGGCACTGCCACAAGGTTATCTAAGGTACTTAAGGGCTGGAAGGAGTCATGGCAGACATCTCTAACACCATCTTGTTTTTTGTTTTGGGCTTTTTTCCCCCTTTCCAGTGTGTTCCATGGGAAACAGCACCAGCCGGCTCTACAGCGCGCTCGCCAAGACGCTGAGCAGCGGTGCCGTGTCCCAGCACCAGGACTGCCTGGAGCAGGCGGACTCGGCACGGCTGGACCCTATAGACCCCAAGGAGCTGCTGGAGGAATGTCAGATCGTTCTGCAGAAACGGCCGCCCCGGTTTCAGAGGGACTTTGTGGACCTGAAGAAAAACGCCGTCAGCAGCCACCGCCCCATTCGGGTCATGCAGTGGAACATCCTCGCCCAAGGTAGGACCTTGCCTCCAAGATCGAGGTGTGACCTTGAGATCAAACGCAGCAATTAAGACCTTTAAATGCCTCCCTAATTAAGCGTGGGAGAGGTGGATTACCTAAGGCACTACTGACTGAGGGCTGGGGAGGGAGAGGAATTTTCAGCACTTGAAATAGTGGCTCCCCTTCCCTTCGGTAGGAAAGGAAAAAAGATCTCTCCTTGCAGCTGTGATGCCAGAGGTGGCTCTGGACACAGTATATTCAAATGCCGTGGCCGATCACTTTTAGAAAAACCCCTAGAAAAGACTCATCCTTCCATAAGTTTCATTCTTTGCAAAGCTTCTCTACCATTTTCTAATTAGTTTATCCCTGGACTATTCAGGGAATTCAGATCTGTTACGGGAATTCTCAATTCTTAAAAATAATTTAAACTGATTTTATTATAATTTGTTTTTTCTCAGACCCCTAAAACCAAGGCTGCAAATTGACTTACGCAACAGCCTCATCTTAAAATCTTTTGGGGTGGGAAATCCTCCACGCAGGGACTGCCTTAACGTTCTGCAGTTAAATCACTCCTATCCCACTGCTTTTTCCGTGGCAGCCACATGCACTTGCCCCACTGTGGTGACTTTTGGGAAGGAAGGAGGGGGAAGAGTCTTTTATCTAAATTGTATCTGTAAAGGGAGCTTAATTTTTTGGAGAGACTTTCAGTTTGAGATGGGGTTCTCACAGCTGTTCTTTCAGCAGCTACTCCTGAAAGACCTATCACCTGCACATGAACTGATGTGGACCCATTTTACAGAAAAAGCAAAATGTGGCGAAAGCCTCAGGCCGCCTGCCATTACAACCTCTTGCAGTGTGACAGCCAGCCTGCTCTCCTGGGGGGCTACAGGCCACCACCAGCTTCTGCAAGGTGGCAGCTGGCTCCCCAGAGCAGAGCCTTTGGCCTCGGCAAAGCCTGGAGGAAGACTATCCTTTTTTTTATCCATTTTAGCTATCAATAACTTTTTTCTTTTTTTTTGTTTTTTTTCTCTTCCCTTCTGCTAATTTCAGCTCTTGGAGAAGGCAAAGACAACTTTGTTCAGTGCCCCATGGAAGCTCTGAAATGGGAAGAGAGGAAGTGCCTCATCCTGGAGGAGATCCTCGCCTACAAGCCTGACATCTTGTGCCTGCAAGAAGTCGACCACTACTTTGACACCTTCGAGCCACTCCTCAGCAGACTGGGCTACCAGTGTACTTTCTTCCCGAAGCCGTGGTCCCCCTGCCTAGACGTGGAGCAGAACAACGGGCCGGATGGCTGCGCCTTGTTTTTCCTCAAAGACCGCTTCGAGCTCATCAACAGCTCCAACATTCGGTTGACCGCCATGAAGCTGAAGACCAACCAAGTGGCCATAGCTCAGACGCTCAAGTGCCACGAAACTGGAAGACTGTTCTGCATTGCTGTCACCCACCTGAAAGCCCGTACGGGCTGGGAGAGGTTTCGGTCCGCCCAAGGCTGCGATCTTCTCCAGAACCTGAAGAACATCACCCAAGGCGCGAAGATCCCTCTGATCGTCTGCGGAGATTTCAACGCGGAGCCAACTGAGGAGGTCTACAGGGAATTTTCCAACTCCAGCCTCAACTTAAACAGCGCCTACAAGCTGCTGAGCCCCGACGGGCAGTCGGAACCTCCATACACCACCTGGAAGATCCGGCCCTCGGGAGAGTGCCGGCACACGCTGGATTATATCTGGTATTCCCAGCACGCCTTGAATGTGAACTCAGCCCTGGGCTTGCTGACTGAAGAGCAAATTGGGCCCAACAGGCTGCCATCATTCAATTACCCTTCCGATCACCTGTCCCTGGTGTGTGACTTTAGTTTTAATCAAGACCCCGACAGACTGCTGTAACGGGTTGCGACGCCACCTGGTAGTGCAGTGTCTTTGACTCGCCACTGTTTTATTTTCCAGAAAACTTTTGGAGGTGGGAGCTGTTGAAAGATGAGGAAATAACTGTTGACTAAACATTATTTGGGGCGCTTGTTTGGGGTTACACTTGCCATTCAGCCCTTGTTAATCTGGAGCCTCCAGGGGAGGAAGAAAGGAGTCGGTGTTCTCGCCGTGGTGTTCTTGCCACGCCGGGCTTGGAGAACCGGAAGGCAAATGAGCTTTATCCTTTCACTAACCCCCGTGTTTAAGGGTTTAATCCTCTAATGAATGCGGAGGCCTTAGTATTTAAATCAAAACACGTGTGTTTGTAAAACAACTTGCCCTGACAGCATGCTTTATTTTATTTATTTCATGTTAAGGTTGTGCAAGTACCAAAGGGAACGAGGCTCAACTACTCGGTGACATCCTCTTAAATCTTCTTCTGTTGCAATACAAAGGAAGTTCGATGCGGTTTAAACTTGAACAAATCTAAGCTGAGGCCGTGCGTTTTACGTGGCTGGAGATGACGATTTCATTAAAAGTGAATGGGTAATAGCATAGCGTGAGGAAGGGCCCCTCCAGTAAGAGCAGGTGAGGAGAGAGAGTCTAACTCTTCTACGTCATCTAGTGATATCTCACTTTTACCAGATGGACGTGCACGTTACACAGGGCCTGTAGGTATGTAGACACGGCCACTCTTATCTTTGTCTCTTCTGTGCTTCCCTCCAGAGGACACACCGACCAGGGAGTTATTTCCTCCTCTGCTTCGAGGATTACTTTTCTAAATGGTTTAAATTTGTAGTCTTGTCAATCTTGCCGTTTCAGTAAAGGGCCAATCTTCACCTTGAAAGACTTTCTTTTATTTATCTTCAGAACCTAAAGCCACACTGGAACCTGTTAGAAGATCAAATTTATTTATTGAGAGAAGTTGGTGATCCTGCATCCTGACTTAAAATCATGCAGCAACGGTGTTCAGGAGACTCTCTCCGTGGCCCAGGGGACCTCTGGCTACAAGAGAGCCCTGTTAGTCTAGTAACTCTTGTGCATGGAGTGGTGCTCGTGGGTATGAAATAGGTACTGCACGTATGGATTGTAAACGTGCCACTGGGCTGGGAAAAGGAGGTAGGGAGAGGAGGAGGGAAAAGGGACACACAGCTGACATTTCGATAGTTGGGAAAGATGAGGCAGAGCAAATAAAGCAGTACTTCCATGTAAAGTAAGGCCTGTAGTAACTCTTAAATGTTCCAGGTGTTTATTAATAAAAGTATTTGGGAAAAAAAAAAAGTAATGTTTCTGCTGCCATCTTTTTCATTTCCCTATCATAATTAGGTGATCTGCCTCAACTAATGAGTGTTCGAGCTTCAAGTTAGTGGTGATGCTGCTCATTCCAGAGCTTTCTGCCCAGACCCCACAGTCCTCATCTCACAGGTGGGCACGGCTGCTTTGCTTTCACAGGAAGCAGTCTCAGACCTGAAATGCCCAAATTCCACAGTGAGTCTGTAGGGAAGGGAGTTACCTTTAGCTGTGTCCAGCTGCTCTGTCCCCTGGCTACAGATGAAGCCTAGATGCTGTTTTACTGTAAATACTGCTCTGACGGTTGTGTGGAACCACAAACCTGGCCAGTACTGCAAAGCAGGGGGCAAAGACTCCTCCCTGAGGGCTGTGTTACTTGTCACTTTCTTTTAAAACATCATTTGAAGAGCAAGAAATGCCACAGAGATGTGCTTTACACAGCCCATAAATTATTGCATTTGTGTCGCTGGTAAGTAAAATAGAGAGTCCGGCAACTGGAAGTCTCAAATTGCCACACAAAGACCCTCCCTTTTAAAGGAATGAAGTGCTGTGTCACATAGCTGTGTCACACTCCATGGGTGATGAGCTGGGGCCCCTCTAACCAGCCTGGGATGCAGGACTCCTCTAGCAAGCGGTGATTTGCAATTCCCCAGACAGAAAGGATTTTACATCCTGGGTGAATGCTCCCACTGGGCAGATGTCACACATTGACTGCTGCCAGCCAGGGCTTTCTCCAGCTGAAGTTTCAGAAAGAGCAATCCCTGGAAGCCAGAAGGGGTGGTGCCTTTGGAGGACATACTGGGCCAGAGATGAGAGGTTCCTAACGCCCCACAGAAAGTCAGACTTTTGAGCATCCCTGCCATAAGAGTTTCATACCCGGTAGACTTGAGACCACTTCCTTCTTATGGTGCTGGCTGCCCTCGGTTTTCTCTGCGGGGATGAGCTGCAGGGCTGCTCCTTCAGGGCTCTCTTCTCTTAGGACCTTCCCTCATGGTCTTTGCAAGGAGGAGAAAAAATACAATTGCCCATTAATGGAGGTATCTAGTCAGCTGTAGCTTAGCACTTCTGAAAGCAACACCACAACGTAGACCTATAAGATGGCACTTTTAATAAGTCAAATCCTTGCTCGTCTACTACAAAAAGTCCCCACTAGAAGATGAAGTTTCCATTCAGGCCCTTTTGGTGGTTCCTGGAAGAAATTACACTTGTGGTAGAAAGCCTTGCCTTGAGAGCAAGGATAATACTGTACTCACATCTGTATTTAAAAAAAAACTAAAACAAAAACATCCCTAACAACCCCAAAAAACCCACCCAACAACAACAAAAAGCCCTTAATTTCCATTTTACTCTGTTTTCCTAAGGCCAGCCGAGGGTGTCCATCAACGTGGTACCCTGTCACCACTGCCAGGGCCCAGAGCCACGGCACCGATAATGGCAGGCTTTGTTTACCAGCAGGAGCTAAACCATTGCAGCTACAGAGCTCCCACCACCACTCTCACAAAGTGATGATATTTGGCATCTGGATGATTCTTACACCATTTTACTCAGCCCCTTGCTTTCAACACTAACTCTCCTACAAAAGAAACCAGACGGTGGGGAAACGGCATGATTTGTGTGATTTTGCCATCACTGCAGAGCTCTTCTGAAGTGGAAAAGGCCAGGATTCTTATTTCACCCTGGACACGTGACGGTAGATGTTCACTGCTCCGTGTCCTTAAAGGGTAATTTCGAAGACGAGGGGAGGGTGGAATAACTGAGAAAAGGCTGGGGACTCTCCCCATCACAAGGCAATTCTTAATATTATCATACCCAGAAAAATCACACATCCCTGCTATAGCACAACAGTGAGCCCTTCCTGCTGGATTGTAATAAAAGGTAGACAAGATGCAGAAAATTAACAGGTAACTTGTTCCCAGTCAGCCTCACCCTCTTATTCCAGTACTTGTTACAAAATACACTTTACAGACAGACTCTTCTGGAAAACTTCAGTAAAATAGTGCTCTCTTGCTTTGTTTTATTCAGCAAGAGGCAGTCCTGCAGCACTGAAATGCTTTTGCCTGCTATAAATATCAGTACGCTAAATATTTTTCATAGGAAGAAGCAGGAAGGTTTTTAATTATTTTTTTTTTCCTGTGTAGCAGTATGACTCTTACAGTAAAAAATGTCTTCAAAGCTCTTCTTGTGGCTGTCTCCCTTACAAGCACAGCGAGGCTAAAAAAAGTCTCAACAGATCCCTTGCTCTAATCTTGAATAAAAGCTGCATTAGCTTTAGCAGCGACAGTTTTCCCTCACCCCCAAGCTAGCTGAAGGAAGAAATGACCCACTTATTTAATTTGCTGAAAGGCTGAAGCTGTTGCAAGCTTATTAAAACACTATCTCTCTCGGAGAACAATTAGATCCGAAATAGATAGCGTCACTTGGATCTTCTTCACTTAATAAGCTTTAATACCTGCTATTTGAACTGTCTCTGCGAGGCAGAAATTGAATTTAGCTTGTTCTGGCTGTGACAATCTTCACACGTACCTGCGATCCCTGCTGCGCGTGTCAGGGTGTGCAAGGGCTGAGGCTTCAGGCACCTCTCCACTTTCTCACCGACTCTTGACTGCCCCTGGCTCACTGATCCTTGATCAGCTCAGATGTAATTCTCCAAAGCCCTAAAGTTAATGAAACCAATTAGCAGAGGATCCCAAGAGCTCAGCCTTCCCTGCAGCACGCTTTCCCCCGATCACTTGAGTTGTGTCAAGGCTCTGAACCCTTCGCTAAGCAAGACGGACTCTGTCCCAGACAGAGTAACAAGAACAGTGGGCTCTGGGATGGGGTTCCCCTTTCAACTTTTCTTGCCACAACCCCAAAATTTTGATATTCAGATCTTTATTCCGAATTGCAAATCACAGATATTTTTTTTCCCCCCGTGGATTACACAGCATTACCCTGTCCATCCTATAACTTACAACCTGATGGGGTTCCCCTTTCAACTTTTCTTGCCATAACCCAGAAATTTTGATATTCAGATCTTTATTCCAAATTGCAAATCACAGATATTTTTTTCCCCGTGGATTACACAGCATTACCCTGTCCATTAGCTTACAACCATAGTTATTTGAAAAATAAAAGTGTTTGTATTTATATCCATAAAATCATATTATCAAATGTGATAATATCATCAAATAAAATCATGTTATCAAAGTGATAACATGACTATACCTCAATGCCTTCTGTATAAAGTGTCCTCACTTCCCTGCTGCGCGTGTCAGGGTGTGCAAGGGCTGAGGCTTCAGGCACCTCTCCACTTTCTCACCGACTCTTGACTGCCCCTGGCTCACTGATCCTTGATCAGCTCAGATGTAATTCTCCAAAGCCCTAAAGTTAATGAAACCAATTAGCAGAGGATCCCAAGAGCTCAGCCTTCCCTGCAGCACGCTTTCCCCCGATCACTTGAGTTGTGTCAAGGCTCTGAACCCTTCGCTAAGCAAGACGGACTCTGTCCCAGACAGAGTAACAAGAACAGTGGGCTCTGGGATGGGGTTCCCCTTTCAACTTTTCTTGCCATAACCCAGAAATTTTGATATTCAGATCTTTATTCCAAATTGCAAATCACAGATATTTTTTTCCCCGTGGATTACACAGCATTACCCTGTCCATCCTATAACTTACAACCTTAGTTATTTGAAAAATAAAAGTGTTTGTATTTATATCCGTAAAATCATATTATCAAATGTGATAATATCATCAAATAAAATCATGTTATCAAAGTGATAACATGACTATGCCTCAATGCCTTCTGTATAAAGCATCCTCACTTCACACCAGAGTTCCACTCCATCCACACAGAAAAGTTATCACTTTTCAAGAACGAGTTAAGGCTGGACCCTTCTCCGTGAGCCACCAGCTTCAGCCCTAAAACCTGGTCCAGCTATCACACATGGACCAAAAAGCAGATTTTTCAACAGGATTGCAAAGGTCTAGGAGTACAGCAAGATACTAATTTTTTCAACTTTTTAGCATTCCTTTGTCTGTTTCAGACGTTTCAAACCTGACCAAAGCTCCCTCATCCTGAGGTCACATCCTCCAACACCACCAGTATTCTTGCCTGTAGGGTAATTAATTATGGCAGCACAAAGCAGCACGTTGCAGAGGAAGCTTGCACAGACATAGAGAATGACCTGAGATTTTCCATTTCGGGTGGCCCCTCTGCCATGTAGGTGCAGAAGTCCCCAGGGAGAGGCTGCCTCTTGTAAGAACCACGTCTCATTACCTAGATTCCACACCACCTCTGATGAACAACTGGGTCTCAGAACAACTCAGAGGAACCACACGCACACAATGCAACGCTGAAGGGCTGTGCTTAAGCAGAGATGCTGAAATCACTGCCCGACTGTGACAAAAAGCCTGTCTGTGACTCTCACTGGCAGCTAAATTAAAAAAAAAAAAAAAAAAAAAAGAAGAGTACAAAAGCATACACGGAAAGGTTAACAAAAAGGGTCTTCACGGTTTGAAGCCGGGTTAAGTACCTTTTCCATTTCACTTACAGCACGTGCTCACACAGACAAGAGATTCTCAAAACACTTAGGGAACTTCTGCTAAATGTCCTGTGGCCGCCGGCAGCGTGTGTGCCACTCACCGGGTGGCCAGGGGAGAGAGCCAAAGGACCATCCCCAGTTCCACAGCAAGACGCAGCAGCGACAGTAAGCAGAGCTCAGCAGAGATGGGCACCTTCATTCCTCTCGGGTTCTGCCATTACGCGATGAAGTCTTGGCTCCAACTTAAGAGAAGGAGGTCATCAGCTGGAGATCTTTGTCTATTTCCAGGAAGAGTTTGTCCCCATTTGACTTCCAGCCTATCTAAATTAGGTGTCGGAAAGGTCTCAACTACAAACACTCCAGAGACAGACATTTCATGCTCTGAGATAACACATCTCTTTCATATACGATCAAGTAACAGCCACTTAGAAAAGGATTTCTTACAGAAAAGACTTATAAATGTGGGTTTAAAAATGCTATTACTTTTTCTCTCATCTTCTAGCTCTGACTCGTTCTACCTGCCTATCTTCACACTGCTCCTCTCAGGCTACCAAATTAGTCAACCCATTGCCCAGCTTGCCCCTGCTTCCCTTTCTGTCCTACCTCTTCTTGGCGACATAATCTTCCTTCTCCTACATTTCCTCCTGTGAAGGAGCCTTTATCCCCTACCCCAGGCCAGCAACACAGCTTATCTACGTAAGGACCTTTGCTTCTTTGGGTTAACTGCTGGTGGGAGGGATTGCTGCCTTCTGCATCCCACTTTTTTACCTGCTTCAGCTTGTTCATTCATTTGTTCTTAAACTCTGCTTCCCGGCTTAGAGTATGAAAAATAATCCCCTTTTCAGAAGAGTTTCAAAGTTCCACACGCACTGGGCTGGCTGTACTGAGCTATCCCTGCATTTCTTACCAGCCAAAGGGAAAAATGGGGCTTACTGCTAAGAGTCTATTCATTTTTCAGTAGTAAAAGTAAAAAAATAAACTCCAATATAAGTACTGAATTCTGTCATTACTAAAGACCTCCATTCCAGAGTTCTGTTAAAATTGCTCCTCCAGGCATGGAGTACCTAGATGGTCATTCAGAATTAATTCCTTCAAGATTAGCCAAGCTCCTGCTCTGAAGACTTTCTAGGGCACCTCACTAGGAACTGGGGGTGCCACTGGGCACCCACGAGCTGATGTGCTGCTTCTCCAGTAACTGCCAGTGTGGTGTCCATGAAAGCAGGGTAAAGTACCCTGCACCTATTTTAAGCCAAACTCTTGCACACAGACCACAACTATGGAGTAATCTGTGTAACTGTGTGTTCTCACCTGAGCTTTGACCCTGTAATAATGTATCATGATACATTACTACAAGTTAAGGGTATCATGATACCCTTAACGTCAGGGCAATTGTAAGATCTATTTAGATACTTACTTCATTCTGAAAAAAAAAAAAAAAAAAAACACACAACAAAAACATCTACCCAAACTCATGTATTCGTTCTGAAGCCAAAATGTTAACAGTTGGAAATGTCAATGGCAACAACATCTAAAGGACTAGCAGTGTAAATCAGTATTTCTCTTTTTGTACAGTTCCTACCTACAGGTACTTTCAGCTTACCTCTATGAGATCATCAGAGAGATCAGCGCACTGGAGTAGCCAGGTCTGCTCATTTCTACCTTTCCTTTGCAATGCAGCCTTAGGAAATTAAGGTTTATCTGGAGGAATAATTGGGTAGTTCACAGAGCTCTAGAAGTTACGGATTCTCAGAGTCGTTTAAGCAAACCCTGTCTTCTTTGCATTGAAAAAATTCAGAAGAGCACAGGAAGTTATCACCTGTCAGCTGGAGGGCAGTAACTTCTACTCGTTATTCCCAAGCACTCAGGTGATTAGCCACAAAGGAAGAACACTGTGTATGCTCACCATCCTGAAAAAGCATAAGAGAACTAGACCCCTGTCAGAACTTGCCTCACCATCTACCACAAGCTTCTCAGACATGTCAATGAAAACTATTTCAGTGTACTGTGCGAGAGTTGGTCAGCCATTCGGAGTACTGGTGTAGTGAGGAGTTCCAAACTTCCACACTGTATCAGCTATCTTAGGCTGAATGCTTGGAAGATTTCAAATAAGCAGAAAAGAAGGTTAATAGGTTGCAAGGAAAAAAAAAATATAATAAAAAGCAGACCAAACACCGTTAAATTTCGTTTCTATATTTCAGTAAAACCTACTTGAATACACTTTGAAACAAGAGTACAACAAAATAGAATATACTTCAAATGTTGAATATACAAACTATTATAGTTCATTCTGAACACTGGTACTTCCCTCTTAACTTCAACTAAAAAAAAAAAATTTACAGGTTTAGAACTACCTGACAAAAGCTCATGCTGGGCGTGACCTTTCAAGTGACAGAGTAGAGCTGAAACTGAAATGTATGCGCGGATGTCAAGGCTAAGTGAGAGACACAGGCATGTTACAGCAGAAGGCAGAAAGCCTGCTGCTATTTTGTCCACAATTAAGAAATTTAGACAGACTTTTAACTACCATACAAAATATGTTACATGTAATTCTATAACAATACTGTGCTAGGTACAAGATTTTTAAAAAATTTGTTTTAATAAAAAAGCTTTACACAAACAAGCCATTAGCTTATTTCAAGAAAGATAACTGAAAATCAGTCTAAGGCTTTCATTTTGAATCTGCTTAAGCTGTATGATACAAAAATTCCCTCTAGGTCTCTGTCTTCTTTTAGAAGCTCTTTAATCTTCTCCTTTATTTCACATTCTACAACACCTAGTAGCAGAGTTTTTCACATAGCACCAGTTGAGTACTGTGGGCACACAGTAGTAATTGCTGGTATGCATATAAAATGCATCGAATTTGCCATTTGTAACAATGAGACTTTCCTCTCTCCCTGAAAACTAAAACCCAAGGCAAACCTCTCACACGACTCTCTTTTAGTGTTCCAGGTCTTAGTGTAACTCGGTAACGGGTAACGTAGTGAACTGTTTGGTCCCTGTTCAGTCCCTCTCTCTTTCCTTCTCCATAGGTTCAGCTGTTTCCCAACTGGAAGAGGCAGTTTTTGTCAGTATTATCAATGTGGTTCTATTCCCACTGAAAACACGGGAAAATAAATCTTTTTTTTCCAGTATGTCTTCAACATATGCATGTTTATTGACATTTCAAAACTCTCCTTTTCGACTTGGCGATCACATCCACTTCCCTCCCCCAATATATTCAAAACCGTAACAGTCTAGAAGTCCATGCTGGAAGCAACCTATTCTTCATTTCTCGCACGTTATGATTCCTTCTGTTTTCATTGTCACAGGAAGGGCAATAGCCGAGGGCGTGCTAACTACTACTACGTGGGTCACAGTCTTGCTTCCATCCGCCGGTTTCTCTTCTTTTACCAGCTGCACCGTCTTC